GAGTAGAGTATCGATGGATCTGATGACATTGAAAAACCGACACTACCTGATAACAGTAGATACCTACTCTGACTACTGGGAGCTAGACGAGCTTCACCCGAATTCCACAGCCAAGAATGTGATACACAAAACCAAGCAGAACTTCAGCAGACATGGAATACCCATGGAAGTTGTCACCGATAACGGACCCCAGTTTGCATCAGAGGAGTTCAAGCAATTCGCAGAGACCTGTAACTTGAAGAGTGATAATGCATGCCAGTTAAAGCTTAAGATTGATAATGCATGAAAGTTGAAGAGAAAGGAACTGACATGTTTTGTAAAAGAAAGGGGATGTTACACGAAGTAAGATTTAGATGCTAGCACCCCTTGTACCATTTGTATTAGTATAGACCATGAATATTAAGTAGCAAGGCTCCAACAGATCTAACGTCTAGAGAATCAGCCTCTTTCCCTGGATTGAGGAAACACACGCTTGTACGTTACTAACCCTATATAGAACAACAATTCAGAGATTTCATACCTCCATGAAATATGTTAGAGTTTATGTTAATGTTTTTGGGGGATTTGTCTCATTCAAATATAAGATCATAATTTCCGTAATCTAGTTAAATTTAAGGTTTTCTAAACTCAAATTACAATATTCTGCTTGTGAAATTCCTATCTTTTGGCAATATTTCAAGTCAACATGTCTTCATTAATTATGCAAATGACCTCTATATTAACATAATATATGCATATTATTAACTTTAAGTAACTTACACATGTTACAAGGTATAGGTTTTCTTTTTTCTTCTACAACCCGTCGTACGTGCTACTGCGTGCTGTCTACGTTCAAAAACGTGGGCAATCGTAGGGCATCCGTGCGTGGTGAGTACCACCTCCGTACGGAATCCTACGGATTTGGGAGCACGCAGACACGCCGTAGAACTTTAAGTGCATGTAAAACTTTTTCTACGTGCGGTCTGCGGATCTACCACCCGTGCGTGCGAGTACGTGCGACGTGCGTGCCCCGTACAGCCTATGAGCGTGCAACGTACGGACTCCGTGAGTCTTGCTGTACGGACAGCGCACGAAGCACGTGCGTGCTATGCACGGTGCTTGCGTCATCCGTGCTTACTCCTCACTTCCCAGTTGACCTGCTCAATGACCACGCAGAACACACGTGCACCATACCAGGTGCTCCGCACGTGCAACGCACGCGCAACGCACCTGATTTCTACAGTATATGGTGACGACTTGACGGGCGACTGCCAACTCGTCTCCAAGATGCCCAGGAAGGCTCAGAAGAAGACTACCAGACAAGACCCAAAGAAACGGGCCGCTGAAGACACCAGGGCGGCTAGTGATGATGAAGTTTAACAGGATGTGCACGCACTTACAACGTGCGAGTGAGTAAGGAAGTACGCCGCACGTGTAGGTACGGCCTGTACGCGGCAACGTGGCAATCGCACAGAGATCGTACGTTGTAAGCACGTACAACTCACTTACCACTTGCGCAACGTACGATGCACGCAACCGCTGCCGGCCAAGCGTGTCGTGCAGACCACGTACGTACACCTTGCGCAACCGTGCGAGTGACGTACTCCCTCGGCCGGTCACCCCACGCTTTCAGAAAAAAACGTAGCAGACGTAGCCTCCCAAAAAACGTACGGACAAAAAGCACGCACGGCGAGTTGTGACCGTCGCTTTAAGCTTCGGTCACAACCCGCCGTACGTGCTTCTGCGTGCTGTCTACGTGCAAAAACGTGGGCAAACGCAGGGAATCCGTGCGTGGTGAGTACCACCTCCGTACGGAATCCTACGGATTTGGGAGCACGCAGACACGCCGTAGAACTTTAAGTGCATGTAAAACTTTTTCTACGTGCGGTCTGCGGATTCACCACCCGTGCGTGCGAGTACGAGCGACGCGCGTGCCCCGTACGTACCGTACGAAAGACGCACGTGTGAGTACGGCCTCCTTATGGTAAAGTTGCAATCGCACATAGATCGTACGTTGTAAGCACGTACAACTCACCATTTGCGCAACGTACGATGCACGCAACCGCTCACGGCCAGACGTGGCGTGCACACCACACTCTTACACTTTGCGAAACCGTGCAAGTGACGTGCGAGTGACGTGCGTCGATGCCACTCCTTCCCCACGTTTTCAGAAAAAACGTAGCAGACGTAGCCTCCCAAAAAACGTACGGACAAAAAGCACGTACGGCGGGTTGTGACCAAGGCTTTATCAAACTAGAGTTCCCCAATGTCATACCTTCGCCAAATGATGTTAATCTTTATGACTGACAAATTATAGATTTTCCCCCTGATTTAACAAATAGGATCCTCATTTTCATAACTACATATCAGTTTATCATATTCTTAACCAAAAGAAAGTCTTATATTAACAAACAATGCAATTCTAGCATTTCCTCATAAATTATGCAAATGATGTACTGATTTGAATACATTATGTTTAATGATGTTCACCTTCACTGAAGTTAAGTATGAAATTCCAGGCATTTATCATTACAGAATTATAACATTTTCTCATTAATCATGCAAATTACGTCTTCATTTACATAATCAATATCTGCCTGTGTTTCTCTGGTTCTCAATTACCAATCCCACAAGCTTCAATTGTCCTATCATGGAATGCAGCTGATTTATAGAATTTCCCCATAAATCATGCAAATTACATCCATATTTGCATAATTGTCACATAATTATATCAAGCATCACGTAAGCTACCAGCATACCAAAAATCACGACGATCCGTAAACCGGTTCTTTGCATATATATTTGCAAAATATAAAACTTCACGGAGAATTGTCGCCTATGGACACTTCTTTTTATCTTACTGAAATCTCAAGTTCGTACTACGTTAAAAGTATATAGCTCATATTGGGCTTGATTGACCTTCTTCCTCCTATTCTCCCTAAAACACAGTCAGCTGCCCAGCAGGATGGAGCCCCTACGGTGCCAGATGCTATCAAGTATTCATCGCTCAACTGACATTCCAACAGGCGGAACAGCATTGCGCAAATCCGGCCATACGCCAGGTCAATGACGGTGTGACTGCTCGGGTGGCTATGCCAAAAGACCAAGGGATCAACGATCACATTATTGCTCTGCGGAACAGCGTCGCACCCCCGGCCTCCTGCTGGATTGGACTGACAGATAGGGACAATGAGGGCGCCCACAGGTGGATAGATGGGGAATTATTGGGAGCCTACAACTACTGGGCATATGATGTATCGGATCCATCGAACAAAATCATTGAACCCAACGAATCGCCCGGCGATGCAGACTGTGTTCGCATGGAGAGAAATATACCAACTTCACCAAATATCTCCGATCATTGGAGAGATTTTCCTTGTGATGATCTACAAGCTTTCTGTGTGATCTGTGAAACACTTGGTCGTAAGTAACTCTTGACCTGCAACATAGCATTTATCTAACAATCTATCGCTAAACATTACAGCACAACAAAGAATTAACACTGCAGATTCCGCAAAAACATTACCTCTACACGTATCGTTGATTTTGACTTGCGCTTGTCTTTTTATTGAATATTAATAAATATAGGCTGGTACTTCACGACTTCACCAACGTATATCTGTATACTGCTGCATACAGTAGCTTATAATTAAAAGGATGTCCAATGCTCTATTCGGTAAACAAGACTGTCATCGAAAAGCGCTATAGTAGACTCTGTATTTTGTGTATCCTTTCCTTTTAGTCTCACTTGTAGGGTCACTTGTTTTACCGACTCGATATTAACAATATAAAGAGTTCTTTGGTATGTAACATAGCGATAAAAAATGTTGGTGTAGAGAAGGATGTACATGTATGTTTAATCTTACCGCACTTGTGTGTTTGTCGCTTTTTCGCACAGAAACACCATTGTTGTTAGCGTCTTTTTTTAAAGTTTGGAAAAAATCACCGGAGCTTGCATTCTATATAGACATAAAGCTAGCCAAAAGTGCTCAAGACATTTCAATGCGTGTACGATTCATGCTACTGTAAGTACATAGTGTTACAACCGTGTCGTTTGAAACAGCATGCGAGGTAGACAAAGGCACCTGCTTTGCATCTGGAGATCCACACTACGGTTCGTTCGACAACAGGCGTTATGACTTCCAAGGCCCGTGCAGATACACATTCGCCAAGGACTGTGATGGCGATCCGGACTTTACTGTGGAAGTACAAAACGTAGGCCTACCGCCGTTCCCGAGTGCATTTTCCGTTACCGAAGAAGTCTACGTGATAGCATTTGGGATGGAAATCTCGCTTCTTCAAGGCTACGGAAATGTGGAGGTGAGTTTCATTGTTCTGTCTGCGTACATTAGAGTCGATTGTGGAGACATATTGTCCCAGGGAAGCCCCTCTTCTGATTCCGTTTGAGGCGCACGTGTAACATATTAACGGGAAAATCGCACATTTCACCGATCTTCGGGCTTAAACTGTGTGACGAATGCGCAATTGAAAATATGATTTTCTTAGAGAGATACCATAATTCAGGATCGGTGCACAAGTGTTCTGAATTGACGAGCACGTCGGCAGAACGTACTGCGCCTGCGCGAAACCCGTAATGTATTGTACATAGCATTTCGGCAGAATGTCTCATATAAGGTTGTATTCGCTCATATAAGGTTAGCATTTCGACAGTAGTTTCCAAATGTTGTGTCGGATAGAATATCCTCTGCAACAGGAAAAATTCTGATGCAACGTTGACCAAAAACCCAACGAAAAACGCGAAAATACGGGAATCTGCGCAGGCGCAGTACGTTCTGCCGACGTGCTGAATTGACGGTACAATGACGTATCATGTGCTACATGTACTCTGCCTCTAAATGATAAAATACATGATTCGTCATTAACCAGGTGGGCGGAATGCCCATAAACCTTCCCTACCACGAACCAGCTGGTAGGATTGAGGTTCACCAGGTCGGCAGATTTGTCCGTGTGCGGCTGGTAGACTCATGCGTGGAGGTGTTCTTCGACGGAAGTCACCAAGTCAGGGTTAGTATATTACAGATACAACGTAGCTGTGTATTGCATGTTGTGTATGCCATGGCCCATTTTGATGACTGTAACATTTCTTCAAATACAGATCCTGAGTAGTACATAGATATCTGAGGGAAAGAACATGCGTTTTGGTATGCTTCTACAGGTGACTGTCCCAAGAACCTACGTGAACGACATGTGTGGTCTGTGTGGTAACTTCAACGATGACCCGTCCGATGACCTGAACGGACTGAGCGAATACGATTTCGGGACTTCACATCTGACCGACAACGCAACGTAAGTGATGTGAATACAGGATGTATACATACAATATTTCTAAATAAAACACGTTAGCGAAGATATCCTCATGTTTTCTTACCACATAATTAAATGGCATGTATTTAAGAAAAAAAGTGGGTTTATTTCGGGTTGGTTAGGAATTTGTAACATTTATACAACGAGCAAGCACGGCTTTTTTAAAACCTGAACTAATATTCTTCTAAGACTATTACAAGATTTTAAATTGTAATGATTTATCTTCCATCCACCTCAGATGTCCTGGAGGTGTCCTTCCGCCGGAAGTACCTGTACCTGATTGTAACGACACATATGAGGCTCAAGTGTCGGCGGATGACATGTGTGGATTGATAAGCGATGCGGACGGCCCGTTTGCTATTTGCCATGGCGTTGTGGATCCTCAGCTTTACTTTGACAACTGCGTCTATGACATGTGTGCAGGAGCACCCGATGCGCTATGCCAGAACATGGAGGCGTATGCGGTGGAATGCGTGGATGAAGGGGTGCCCTCCTCGATTCTTGATTGGCGGACTGAGGACCGATGTCGTACGTGTAATCTATGAAATTATAAACATCACACACACACACACACACACACACAAACACACACACACACAGCCTGGGAGGACATCGTCTTCTGTGGGTGTGTTTGTGTGTGTGTGTGTGTGTGTGTGTGTGTGTGTGTGTGTGTGTGTGTGTGTGTGTGTGTGTGTGTGTGACTGTGTGTGCATGTGCGTGTATGTATTATATTAGCTTGACATGTTCAACACATAATTTCATATATCACCCTACATCTATATTTGAATTCATTTAGAACATACAAAACTTTGTTTCCAGAATTTAAACTTTAAATTTTGTTTATTTTTCTCAGCACTGGACTGTCCAGCGAACAGTTTTTGGAGTCCATGCGCAACCTCCTGTCCTGCGACCTGTGTCGACCCGAACGCCCCGGATCATTGTCTTGAATCCTGTGTAGAAGGCTGCCAGTGCGAGGATGGTTTTATAGACAGTGGTGGTGCCTGTGTACCTTCTACAGACTGTGGCTGCGTCGATCATTATGGATTCTACCACCCTGTATGTATGATTTATTGTAAGCCAGCACTCTGAATATACCAGCCTACATTTTCAACTTTGTAAAAGCTGTGTTTGATCAGTAGATTTGGGGAAAATAGACACACAGCATGGTTAACGACAAGATGATCTCAATGCATCATCCTTCAAAGAGGTCTAGATTTGCAAGGGTCAAAATAAGTTAGTAGATGTTAGTAGTTTCAAAAGAGACAATGGTGTTGTAATTACAATTCTTCATCATGGAAGTGTGTACACATGTGCTGGTAAATAATACACTGTTTCTTCTAACTTAATTCATTACCCTTTCATATCATTTTAGCTTGGAGAAGTATGGGATGATCCTGATAATGCGGGATTCGAATGTGAATGTACTGTAGATGGCATCATCTGTGGAGGTAAGAGAATCTCAGGAAACAGAGAAGAATATCATACTATCTTGATTGCATGGCTTAACAGAAATGACATTTCTACTGCTTTAATTCCTGATTCCATGGCAATTTCATTTGTTTTTGTAGCAATGCACAAAGACGGAAATGTCTACCAATAGCAGTACTAGTAACGATTAATTTGATTTAGTAGCTCTCAATGTAGTCCAAACTCTGCTTAAGTATCACCAAGAAGAACCCAGAAGGAAAAAAAGCTATAAAATAATGCAATGTAACCTCTGTTAAAATTTTTAGAATGCTGCTAATGATTAATCAGACGTCTAAGCTCATCGCATTCTTTATAAGCATTGGAGAATTTGATACTTGATACCAGACTGTTTCCATTGTGGCTACGCCTTTCTCTCTCTTTTTTTACTGCAGATGCCGATGGATGCGACCCCGACCCGTGTGATCCCAATGCTGAATGTACAGACGTTCCAGCTCCCGGCACCGGTGCTACTTGTGACTGTAACGATGGATATGAGGGAGATGGACTCGTATGCACAGGTGACCCAACTTGATAAAAAAGATACTCTACATTACGCTAATATCATACAGTTTACCAAATTCATTCTGGCAGACATTCAACTATGTCTTCATTCATATGAAGATTCAATGATATACAAAAAAAATCCACATTATTCTTTTTTTTTTAATTCAAGAGCATTAATCTACTACGCTCTTGAATGAATAAGCTTGTACTGAAGTATTCGACGTAAAAGGTATCAATGTGCGTGCCTAGAACAATTTACTAGTTTGCATATGTACTAGCAATGCCATTCTCTATGATGTTAATGTTGACGATAAAATGCCAACGTAAGAACCTAGGTTTTAAAACAAGATTTTGCCTTTGAAAACGATGCAAAAGTTATCTCAACTCTTTCGTAAATAATAATGAGGTAATAAATGAGTAACATGTTTTATCTATCTATCAAGATTTACCACATATTGTATTCTGGACATCCTCCTTACAATGTTTCTTGGTTTTAGCGTTGCCATGCCCATATCTGATGGCCCCAGCAAATGGAGCTCTGAGCGATGACGGACCGTACGTTTACCTGGACGTGGTCACGTTCACCTGTGACGAGGGATATTCACTCAACGGAGCCTCTAGTGTGACGTGTCTGGCGACACAATTGTGGAGTGATGTTGTTCCAACTTGCGACCGTAAGTACCTAGGTTTCAAAACAAGGTTTTGCTTTTGAAAATGATGCACAAATCATCTCAATTAACTCTTTAATGAATAGTAATAAGTTAATAAACTAGAAACATGTGTTAGCTATTTATCGAAATTAACCGTACTGTATTCTGGGCGTACTCCTTACAATGTTTCTTGGTTTTAGCGTTGCCATGCCCAAATCTGATGGCCCCAGCAAATGGAGCTCTGAGCCCTGACGGACCGTACGTTTACCTGGACGTGGTCACGTTCACCTGTGACCCGGGATATGAACTGGCCCCGGGCGGAGCCTCTAGTGCTATGTGTCTGGCAGACCAAACATGGAGTGCTGATGTTCCAACTTGCCAACGTAAGTACCTAGGTTTTTTAAAACGATACAGAAATTATTTCAATTAACTCTTTGATAGAGAATAATACGGCTAATAAACTAGAAACGTGTTTTATATATTTATCGAGTATTCTAGGCATCCTCCTTACAATGTTTCTTGGTTTTAGGGGTGGAATGCCCATTGACCTTAAATTGACCTTAAACTTTATTTTCCCAACCTCATCCTACCTACCACATATCATAAAGATACATGCATCACACCCCAAGTTATAACCGATTACAAAATCAGCAACACCTACATGTATGGTGTACCTAAACTTATAACCTTCTGACGAAGGTAATAACTCTTTCGTAAATAATAATGATGTAATGAACGAGGTAGTAACATGTTTTATCTATTTATCGAGATTTCCCACATATTGTATTCTGGATATCCTCCTTACAATGTTTCTTTGTTTTAGGGGTGGAATGCCCATATCGGATGGCCCCAGTAAATGGAGATCAGAGTTCTGACGGACCGTACTATTACGGGGACGTGGTCACGTACAGCTGTGACCCGGGATACGAACTGGTTGGACCCACTAGTGCGACGTGTCAGTCGGACGAATCATGGAGTGCTGATGTTCCAACTTGCCAACGTAAGTGACTATGCTTTAAAACAAGATTACGCATTTGAAAACGATACAAAAATTATCTTAAACAAGAGCTCAAATACCTCATACCTTCATCATGTATAAGTTTCGGCTGTCAGAAATGTGTGTGAAAAAACCAAAGGATGTTAGTGGCACCATACAAGCGAGCCATTGGTCACCTCACCTGAACTACCTAAACTACAAAGTGAATCGTCATGGTGTCATCTAACGTTACAAACATCTGCCCCCCCCCACCATTCATTTCCACCACCTCAAATGCCTTTACCCTAGCATACATTTGAAGCTATATGTCAATCCTTAAAGTGCTGCTGAACTTAACCTTCCTTTCCACACTACATGCTACCTACAAAAAAATTCTTTTAAAAATCCACAACAACAAATATTATCCCGTCTGGTCACATTCCGTCATACAAATGACCACAGAAGCTCCAAAAAAAACAGTTTTTTCTGAAAACCACACCAGATACCTAGTGCCCAAACATCTATGACCGACTCAAAAATGAAGACCATAGCATGTCCACAGCACGAGATATCATACCATGTACCCCACTGCAGTACCTTACAAAACCAACAGGGTACCCAAAGTAGACCTTGAACTTTATTTGCCAACCTCATCCTACCTTCCAAATATCATAAAGATACATGCATCACACCCCAAGTTATAACCGATTACAAAATCAGCAACACCTACATGTATGGTGTAACTAAACTTATAACCTTCTGACGAAGGTAATAACTCTTTCGTAAATAATAATGATGTAATAAACGAGGTAGTAACATGTTTTATCTATTTATCGGGATTTACCATATACTGTATTCTGGGCATCCTCCTTACAATGTTTCTTGGTTTTAGGGGTGGAATGCCCAACTCGGATGGCCCCAGTAAATGGAGCTCAGGCTCCTCAAGGACCGTACTATTACGAGGACGTTGTCACGTACAGCTGTGACACGGGATACGAACTGGTCGGAGCCTCTAGTGTAACGTGTCAGGCGGACACAACTTGGAGTGCTCCTGTTCCAACTTGCGAACGTAAGTGACTATGCTTTCAAACAAGGCTTTGTGTTTGAAAACGATACAAAAATTATCAAATAGGTCATACCTTCATCATGTATGAGTTTGGACTGTCAGAAATGTGTGTGAAACAACCAAAGGATGGTAGTGGCACCATACAAGCGAGCCATTGGTCACCTGAACTACCTGAACTACAAATTGATTTGTAACTTGTCATGGTGTCTTGAACGTTACAAACATCTGCCCCCAATCCCCAGGCTGTGACCATCCATTTCCACCACCTCAAATGCCTTTACCCTAGCATACATTTGAAGCTACATGTCAATCCTTAAAGTGCTGCTGAACTTAACCTTCCTTTCCACACTACATGCTACCTAACAAAAACTGTAAAAAAACATCCACGACAACAAATGTTATCCCGTCTAGTCACATTCCATCATACAAATGACCACAGGAGCTCCAAAAAAAGCATTTTTTTCTGAAAACCACTCCAGATACCGAGTACCCAAACATCTATGTCCGACTCAAAATTCAAGACCATAGCATGTCAACAGCACGAAATATCATACCATGTACCCCACTGCAGTACCTTACAAAACCAACAGGGTACCCAAAGTAGACCTTGAACTTTATTTGCCAACCTCATCCTACCTACCAAATATCATAAAGATACATGCATCACACCCCAAGTTATAACCGATTACAAAATCAGCAACACCTACATGTATGGTGTACCTAAACTTATAACCTTCTGACGAAGGTAATAACTCTTTCGTAAATAATAATGATGTAATAAACGAGGTAGTAACATGTTTTATCTATTTATCGGGATTTACCATATACTGTATTCTGGGCATCCTCCTTACAATGTTTCTTGGTTTTAGGGGTGGAATGCCCAACTCGGATGGCCCCAGTAAATGGAGCTCAGGCTCCTCAAGGACCGTACTATTACGAGGACGTTGTCACGTACAGCTGTGACACGGGATACGAACTGGTCGGAGCCTCTAGTGTAACGTGTCAGGCGGACACAACTTGGAGTGCTCCTGTTCCAACTTGCGAACGTAAGTGACTATGCTTTCAAACAAGGCTTTGTCTTTGAAAACGATACAAAAATTATCTCAAACAGGAGCTCAAATAGCTCATACCTTCATCATGTATGAGTTTGGACTGTCAGAAATGTGTGTGAAACAACCAAAGGATGGTAGTGGCACCATACAAGCGAGCCATTGGTCACCTGAACTACCTGAACTACAAATTGATTTGTCATGGTGTCTTGAACGTTACAAACATCTGCCCCCCCCAGGCTGTGACCATCCATTTCCACCACCTCAAATGCCTTTACCCTAGCATACATTTGAAGCTACATGCCAATCCTTAAAGTGCTGCTGAACTTAACCTTCCTTTCTACACTACATGCTACCTACAAAAAACTGTTAAAAAAACATCCACAACAACAAATATTATCCCGTCTAGTCACATTCCATCATAAAAATGACCACAGAAGCTAAAAAAAGCATTTTTTTCTGAAAACCACACCAGATACCTAGTGCCAAAACATCTATGTCCGACTCAAAAATAAAGACCATAGCATGTTCACAGCATGAGATATCATACCCATGTACCCCACTGCAGTACCTTACAAAACCGATAGAGTACTCAAAATTGACCTTGAACTTTATTACCCAACCTCATCGTACCTACCAAATATCATAAAGATACATACATCACACCCCAAGTTATAACCGTTACAAAATCAGCAACGCCTATGTATGGTGTACCTAAACTTATAACGTTCTGATGAAGGTAATAACTCTTTTGTAAACAATAATGATGTAATAAACGAGTAACATATGTTTTATCTATTTATCGAGATTTCCCACATATTGTATTCTGGGCACCCTCCTTACAATTTTTCTTGGTTCTAGGGGTGGAATGCCCATATCGGATGGCCCCAGAAAATGGAGCTCAGAGTCCTCAAGGACCGTACTATTTCGGGGACGAGGTCACGTACAGCTGTGACACGGGATACGAACTGGTCGGAGCCTCTAGTGTAACGTGTCAGGCGGACACAACTTGGAGTGCTACTGTTCCAACTTGCGAACGTAAGTAACTTTGCTTTCAAACAAGGCTTTGTCTTTGAAAACAATACAAAAGTTATCTCAAACAGGAGCTCAAATACCTCATACCTTCATCATGTATGAGTTTGGACTGTCAGAAATGTGTGTGAAACAACCAAAGGATGTTAGTGGCACCATACAAGCGAGCCATTGGTCACCTGAACTACCTGAACTACAAATTGAATCGTCATGATGTCATCTAACGTTACAAACATCTGCCCCCCCACCAGGCTGTGACCATTCATTTCCACCACCTCAAATGCCTTTACCCTAGCATACATTTGAAGCTACATGTCAATCCTTGTGCTGCTGAACTTAACCTTCCTTTCCACACTACATGCTACCTCCGAAAAACTGTAAAAAAACATCCACAACAACAAAAGTTATCCCGTCTAGTCACATTCCATTATAAAAATGACCACAGAAGCTCCAAAAAGCTTTTTTTTTCCTGAAAACCACACCAGATACCTAGTGCCCAAACATCGATGTCGGACTCAAAAATCAAGACCATAGCATGTCCACAGCACGAGATATCATACCCATGTACCCCACAGCAGTACCTTACAAAACCGATAGAGTACCTAAAATTGACCTTGTACTTTATTTCCCAACCTCATCCTACCTACCAAATATCATTAAGATACATACATCACACCCCAAGTTATAACCGATTACAAAATCAGCAACGCCTATGTATGGTGTACCTAAACTTATAACCTTCTGACGAAGGTAGTAACTCTTTCGTAAATAATAATGATGTAATAAACGAGTAAAATGTTTTATCTATTTTTAGAGATTTACCACATATTGTATTCCTTACAATGTTTCTTGGTTTTAGGGGTGGAATGCCCATATCGGATGGCCCCAGAAAATGGAGCTCAGAGTTCTGAAGGACCGTACTATTACGGGGACGAGGTCACGTACACCTGTGATGAGGGATACGAACTGGCCCCGGGCGGAGCCTCTAGTGTAACGTGTCAGGCTGACGAAAGTTGGAGTGCTGATGTTCCAACTTGCCAACGTAAGTGACTATGCTTTAAAACAAAATCTTGCATTTGAAAACGATACAAAAATTATCTCAAACAAGAGCTCAAATACCTCATACCTTCATCATGTATGACTTTGGGCTGTCAGAAATGTGTGTGAATCAACCAAAGGATGTTAGTGGCACCATACATACAAGCGAGCCTTTGGTCGCCTGAAGTACCTGAACTACAAATTGAATCGTCATGGTGTCATCTAACGTTGCTAACATTCCCCCCGCCCAGGCTGTGACCATCCGTTTCCACTACCTCAAATACCTTTACCCTAGCATACATTTGAAGCTACATGTCAATCCTTGTGCTGCTGAATTAACCTTCCTTTTCACACTACATGCTACCTCCGAAAAACTGTAAAAAAAACATCCACAACAACAAAAGTTATCCCGTCTAGTCACATTCCATCATAAAAATGACCACAGAAGCTCCAAAAAAAGCATTTTTTTGCTGAAAACCACACCAGATGCCTAGTGCCCAAACATCTATGTCCGACTCACAAATCAAGACCATAGCATGTCCACAGCACGAGATATCATACCCATATACCCCACTGCAGTACCTTACAAAACCGATAGAGTACCTAAAATTGACCTTAAACTTTATTTCCCAACCTCATCGTACCTACCAAATATCATAAAGATACATACATCACACCCCAAGTTATAACCGATTACAAAATCAGCAACGCCTATGTATGGTGTACCTAAACTTATAACCATCTGACGAAGGTAATAACTCTTTCGTAAATATTAATGATGTAATAAACAAGTAACATGTTTTATATATTTATTGAGATTTACCATATACTGTATTCTGGGCACCCTCCTTACAATGTTTCTTTGTTTTAGGGGTGGAATGCCCATATCGTATGGCCCCAGTAAATGGAGCTCAGAGTTCTGAAGGACCGTACTATTACGGGGACGTGGTCACGTACACCTGTGATGAGGGATACGAACTGGCCCCGGGCGGAGCCTCTAGTGTAACGTGTCAGGCTGACGAAAGTTGGAGTGCTGATGTTCCAACTTGCCAACGTAAGTGACTATGCTTGAAAACAAGGTTTTGCCTTTGAAAACGATACAAAAATTATCTCAAACAAGAGCTCAAATACCTCATACCTTCATCATGTATGAGTTTGGGCTGACAGAAATGTGTAATGTGTGTGAAACAACCAAAGGATGTTAGTGGCACCATACAAGCGAGCCATTGGTCGCCTGAACTACCTGAACTACAAATTGAATCGTCATTGTGTCATCTAACGTTACAAACATCTGCCAGCCCAGGCTGTTACCATCCCTTTCCACTACCTCAAATACCTTTACCCTAGCATACATTTGAAGCTACATGTCAATCCTTAAAGTGCTGCTGAACTTAACATTCCTTTCCACACTACATGCTACCTAAAAAAACTGTAAAAAAAAACATCCACAACAACAAACGTTATCCCGTCTAGTCAAATTCCATCATAAAAAGGACCACAGAAGGTCCAAAAAAGCATTTTTTTGCTAAAAACCACACCAGATACCTAGTGCCCAAACATCTATGTCCGACTCAAAATGCAAGACCATAGCATGTCCACAGCACGAGATATCATACCCATATACCCCAATGCAGTACTTTACAAAACCGATAGAGTACCCAAAATTGACCTTGAACTTTATTTCCCAACCTCATCGTACCTACCAAATATCATAAAGATACATACATCGCACCCCAAGTTATAACCGATTACAAAATCAGCAACCCCTATGTATGGTGTACCTAAACTTATAACCTTCTGACGAAGGTAATAACTCTTTCGTAAATATTAATGATGTAATTAACGAGTAACATGTTTAATATATTTATCGAGATTTACCATATACTGTATTCTGGGCATCATCCTTACAATGTTTCTTTGTTTTAGGGGTGGAATGCCCATATCGGATGGCCCCAGTAAATGGAGCTCAGAGTTCTGAAGGACCGTACTATTACGGGGACGAGGTCACGTACAGCTGTGATGAGGGATACGAACTGGCCCCGGGTGGAGCCTCTAGTGTAACGTGTCAGGCGGACGAAACTTGGAGTGCTGATGTTCCAACTTGCCAACGTAAGTGACTATGCTTCAAAACAAGATTTTGCCTTTGAAAACGATACAAAAATTATCTCAAACAAGAGCTCAAATACCGCATACCTTCATCATGTATGACTTTGGGCTGTCAGAAATGTGTGTGAAACAACCAAAGGATGTTAGTGGCACCATACAATTCCCACATATTGTATTCTGGATATCCTCCTTACAATGTTTCTCGGTTTTAGGGGTGGAATGCCCATATCGGATGGCCCCAGAAAATGGAGCTCAGAGTTCTGAAGGACCGTACTATTACGAGGACGTGGTCACGTACAGCTGTGACCAGGGATACGGACTGAACGGCGCCTCTAGTGTGACGTGCCAGGCGGACCAAACATGGAGTGCTACTGTTCCAACTTGTAACGGTGCGTACACAGGTTTTGAGCAAGAAGGTTCGCCTTAGGATACAATGCATGCAAAAGGTCGCAATGAATTTAAAATTATTTTTTACACCTATGAAGTAGAGTTTGTTTTTAGTCTGGATGATGTTTTGGTGTATATCTCAACATCCACCAAATCGAATTTAATGATTTTACCAGGTGTGTCGGTTGAGTAAAATTGATCGTGTAGGTCGACATTTGGCCCCTGTAGATTGACCTTGGTACTGCAGTAGGAATTTTAAAAATATCTGGACTGTCTGTGGACGTGATCTTACGGTGATATGTAGTTGTTCACATTTAGTTGTGTGAATTTAGGCCCCCTAGCTGCTCGCTAAGGACCTGCAGGGTTGTTTGAATAATGACTCTTTCCGGCTAATGATCTCAAGAACCGCTGGATGGATGGCGATTATTACTTCCATAAAACTGGAGGTATTGTTTTTGGTGTGTGTGTGTGTGTGTGTGTGTTTGTTAGTGAATTATTTGGCATCAATTATTGAAGTTGCAATCAGATTAGTTATTAAACGTGTTTGATAAAATTATCATTACATCATTATATCTATGACTCACAGTTCTAACATTTGCATTATAGGCAAACGTACTAATCTCTTAATATCTTCTGTCTTTAAAGCAATGACCCGGGACGACTTGTGCGTAGGCCCAGGTTGGTATCAGTACACACTACTGCACACATGACTTGTAACTTACAGTGTGATTACATCTTGATATATAGGTGTGGCAACAGTATTCTTAGATTTACTTTACGCCTTGAGAGGAAAACAACATGAGGTAATGTTTTCTTTGGACTGAGCTTACCAACACGATAGTTTTAAGAAATGCCAACAATTTTCAGGCACAAAGTACTGTTTTGTTGTACAATGAAATTTCTTCTGTAGGTACATGTATTTGTACGTGTGTGTGTGTGTGTTATGTGTGTGTGTGTGTGTGTGTGTGTGTGTGTGTGTTTCTTTGTGTACGTGTGCGTCTCAAGAAAAACACTGGATTGTCTACAACCCAAAGTGTATGTCTTAAGTTAAGTGTAACAGGTCTTATACTTCACATATAACCTGTTGCTGATGTACAATGACATGGATGCTATTTGATAACGGTCACAGTTCTCATGGTGGTATGAATAAAAGTATTACGAACGTTATGAAAGTGTTTTTCTCAATCAAAAGCGACAGGAACATATCCAATTAATCATAAAAAATATGAGTGATAAAAGTATTGCTGTTTAAAGTGCCAGTTGCTCTTGCTGTATACAGCATGTCCTTTACTGTACCTAACACCCAAAGTATGTCATTCTTTAAAACAATGTTATATATGTATATAACGGAGCTTCGTTATATGTTTCACAGATAGAGGATATTGCCATGCTTGCGGAGATCCACATTTTAGGACGTTTGATAGGCGTCCTCACCACTTCCAAGGCCCGTGCAGATACATCTTCGCCAAGGACTGCGGAAACAACGACTTTAGTGTGGAAGTACAACAAGTACCCGTACCCCGCAGGCCAGTTGTGTCCGTTGTGCGTGAGGTGTTCGTAATAGCCCACGGGTACGAAATCGGAATTCACCAAGGCAATGACGTGACGGTAAGAGACATTATGTTTTGCTGACCCATGCTAAGGTTGTGATGACCACCTGTATAGTACAGTACCGTTTAGGTAATGAATGAACACACTTTCTATAGGTCTACATCCCTAATGAGTTGAAGCTAATACAATGTTTTTCCAGAGGTTTCATGTGTTTTTCCCTCTTAATCCAATCCAAGTAGACCTGTTATAAGTGTATGGTGATAACTTGACAGATATCGTTACTATCTATAGTATGCAGTATGAGATCAGAATATTAGAGTTCTGTGCTACTTTGTCCATTCTCTGAATTCCTTATTTCTTTATCCAAAGGTGGACGGAGTGCTATACACGCCTAATTTTTCACTGGCAATGGGCAAGATCCGCGTCAGGTTCCGAGGCATTTGGGTTCACGTGCATTTGGTGGACTTATGCGTGGACATTTACTACAATGGGCGCCACTGTGTTAAGGTAAGCACTAAGCACGTTACTGACAAGTTCACCTTCTGAAAAGTTGCATGTAGAACAACACTGTACAAATAAATTGTGCCATCGGTGATTCATCTGATTAGAAATCATGCATCAGTCATTTTTTACATTCAGTAAAGAAATTAGTTTTGGTTTGGTTTTCTTTTTAATGCCCACTATCATGATACTGATCATTATGGCATACTCATTTTCACCTGAGCGAAGTGAGGAAAGTCGTGCCTTTGCCAAGGGCACAAGATCGGTGACAAGGTGGGGTTCGAACCCCGGACCTCTTGGTTCCGGGCGTGAAGTCGCTACCGCTACCGCTACCGCTACACGACCCCAGATAATTTAGGTATCTACATATCCGAGTTGAAGATGATGTGTATTAAATGCCGCTACAGGTGAAGGTTTCAGCTTACTACTATGATAGGATGTGTGGACTGTGTGGTAACTTCAACAACGACAGGAGCGATGACTTCATGATGTCAGATCTGGTGACCATCGCTACGAACTGGAACGACTTCGGGTTTAGCTGGTTGGTCCAGGACGAAGACAATGAGCTGTAAGTTCTATTGATATAAATCACATTTCCATCAATATAGGTTGGAAGACAAATTTAAGAGGAGATAGAATGGGACAATATTCATTTCTTGGTCACGCTCCAAAATATATAGCATTCAATCAAAAGGTGGGTTCGTAAAGCTGTCAGTCGGACTATATGAGATAGGGGGCAATATAGTTATAACAACGCATGTTGCGTTAAAATGTGACAAAACATTCAAGACAGCATTCTTCCTGAACATCAGCGTACCCAGATAACGGGGCTGTTCGCGTGAAACTAACTGCATTGCCTTTACCGTGCGGAAGGAACCAAATTCAATAACCTCCGAGGGAAATTCCGTTTGTCTGACACCTTCGAGACAGTGTCAATGCCTGATAAGAGCGGACTATTTTTATATCACGGCGTACCTAGGTACCTGTAATCACTATCCTATCTGCTTTTACAAAACTGTTTCCTTAAGCATGATGTGGATTTTTCTGTCCACCCCAGGTGTATTGGACCGCCACCGCCACCACCTTGTCCCCCCGAGTTGGAGATGCTTGCTAATGACCTGTGCGGGATCATTACAGCCAATAACGGCCCGTTTGCCCCTTGTCATGCCTTCGAAGATCCTCTGGAATACTTTGGGGACTGTGTCTACGACATTTGCGCACAAGACGGAGACATCGTGGGTCTTTGTGACAACCTGGAGGCATATGCCGACGCATGTGATGATAAGGGCGTGCACATTAGTTGGCGGACACCAGACCTTTGTCGTAAGCAAGATCCTGAAGCACGATCTAACGTTATACAGGATGTTCTAAATACCATTATGGGCTTTCGTGACAACCATTGTTTTTTTTTCAGAGCAGCACTGTCAGTTCGATGCATTTGAGACATTAGATAAAACTGTTTCTAGAGCTAGAGTTGAAGTTTTTTCTTATTTTTTTGACAGCCTTGCCGTGTCCACCAAACAGCCATTACGACCCATGCGCAAGTCCCTGTCCTCCGACCTGCCAGGATCCCAACCCAATCTGTATACAAGTCTGTGTAGAATGCTGTGAGTGCAATGATGGCTACATCATGAGCGGACAGCACTGCGTTCCAATAGAGGAATGCGGATGCACCGACCCTGAGACCGGCCGTTATTACGAGGTCGGTACAATGAACTGCAGTAGTCACAATCCTGTGTGTCACAGTCATATTTGTCTAATATGTAAGTCCTTGATCTGGTCAATGAGAGCGTATGTGTGTACTAAGGGAAATCTACTATAAATATGTTCGTGTATGCAGTCCCTAACTCTTCTTGAAGCCTCAGAAAGTATCTGTGTGTTTTAGTGGTCTTCTACAGAAAAACAATACATCGACGTGACTCTTACCTAGCGCAGAGAAACGACTCTAACGCTTACATCCCACTAAACACACAGATTCAAAGTGCAAACAGTAAATATCATTTGATATTGAAATCTGACACATCGTAATTACGGAATTCAAACACCTTATTAATGTTTTCCATCTGGAATATTAGTTGGCGTACTTCACTTGGTCTTATTACATTTCTTTCCACCTTTAGCTCGGGGAAACGTGGGTACAGAACGGTAGACGTTGCGAATGCAGAGAAAACAACAACATTGTCTGCAAAGGTACATAATGGTGGTCATGCAGAAGCATAATGCAATAACCTTGATCAATCATGTTACACATTGAAACCTGATTGGAGTGTGGCTGTTTTCGCCATGGTGTCACATCACTATTGTCTGTATTTTGCATTAAATGTTTGCCTTTTGTTAGATTTTTTATGCATTTAGATGGATGTGTCGTTGGTTTTTGTGATATGTTTTTAACCGAATATTGTCCCTATGAAGGATGTTCCTTTGACATCGTCTTCATACTCGACCGCTCTTCGAGCATTGGACCCTATGGGATGTACATCGCCGAAAAATACATCGCTTATATCATCAGATGCTTGTTTGGCGTGGATGTTGAAGTGAGTAATCCTAATTCAAAGCTTATAGAATAGTTAAGCTGTTGCCAGCCTTATTGTTGCTCATACTTCATATATATCAAGTAAGTGATGTGTTGCAAACTAAAAATTAAAATTTTGACAATCAGAAACATTATTGAAAACAATTCTTGAGGGTATCACTGTAACAAAAATATATATTTCACTAAGTACATTGTAACTCACATTGATAGTTTCATATAAACGTTTTACAGAATGACATGTCTTTGTTGTTGCTTGTAGGTTGGGTACATTGTATTTGACTGTATATCGAAGTGGCTGATCGCTCTGGGACTGTACACCGTGGATACGTCCGGTCTCATCCCCCAAATCAAGGCTGCTGAGTTCACCGGGGGAATAAGCCGATCTGGGAATGCCATTCGGCATTTTTCGAGCACGGTTGGCGCACTATTTTCCCACTTTCTCTGTACACTATCTATGATGTAAGATTGTCCTGCTGATAGTACAAGTCACCGACAGTCAGAAGCTTCACGCTCATACGGAATTTCGTGTAAATTTGTATTTTCTCACATGTTACTTCTGACAATTTGTCTTGGATTGTATTTATCTTTCAGTCCTTTAATTCAAGAGTACTTTGAAGACTCCAAAGAGGCGGAGCCTATATTACCTCTTGTTTTGTTCGTTCGTTTTTTCAGGCCAATTTCCGAAACGGGATTCCTAAAGCGGCAATTGTACTGACGGATGGTCGTGCGTATGGCGATGTAAGTTTTCACTCTATAGCTAGTTATCTGACAATCTAATTATGCATCCAGTTGGGTAAGTGATATTTTGATGTAATATTAGCACACCTCAATCTAACATTAATCCCATTTTCTGGAATATAAAAAAAGATCAGTGATGTTTACAGGATCTGTCTGATTTTTTTCAGTGTATGACAGATTAAGCTGGTGACACTCATGTACTTGTACCGTGCCTTTTCTAGTCTTGATAGTAGTAACGTGATGAGGTAAAATAAAATGGCACCTGTAACCATATAAAGTCAAACTGCAATATTAATAGTGAATAAGGTCCAAGTTATGCCAACACGGATGATCACTATGTGTTGTAAACAACATTGTGCCCAGTAGTTTTCTTAACAAAAATATGTGTGTTCTTTTGTTCTTATAACTTACCAGAACCCGGACAACTTGTATCAATACGAATCTGATGCAGCAAGGGCCATGGGCATTGAGATGTACGCTGTGGCAGTTGGAAGGGAGTACTACTTCGACTACAATGCACTTACGTACATCGCGGGTGGGGCAGACCGAGTGTTTGGTCAATTCAGCTGCTGCGCTCTTGCCTACAGGATGATGTGTGACTTGTGTGGTACGTATTGTATTGATTTAAAAGAAATGCACGTAAATCCACACACCAGCTGATGTTTTCTTTCGCCATAAGGTGTCAATGTTTCACCTTCTTAGGCCTTGTTGTTACCCTTCAGAGGTTTTGGATTCAGATCCCTGAATTTCCTCCCTTCTTTCGGGTTAAAATGCATGAGTAACTAATAAATGTCTTAAGAAAGTTAATTTTCTTCCAATATGATGATTCTCTGATCATACATCAAAGCATCAAAGCTAACTTCTATCTATCTTCTGTCTCAAAAGTTTAACCATGTATTGGTTGCTAAAACCTTGAATCATTCTGCAATTCTTTTAGTTTCAATTGGAATTCGTGGGTGTTTTCAAAGACTTGCCAGAAAAGTACAAACTTCAAAAGCACACCCTACATATCTACAATCAAATCCCGTCCTGTAGACAGTTCAATACTTTCTAACGTTTATGATATTTTCCGATCCAACAGTGTTCCCTCCGCCATGTGATGCGAATGCGGACCTGTTCTTTGTTTTGGACGGATCTGGCAGCGTGGGCTCCGCCGATTTCGCTACAGTTAAAGACTTCGTTGTGTCAGTGGTCAGCGCTTTCACTATCAGTTTAACTGACACGAGAGTTGGCGTGGTCCAATACTCAAGTAGCCCACAGTAAGTGTTTTATCGATAAACTTTCTTGCAAGTATAAAGCCTTTATGAAGCCAACTATCCTATTCCTGCCTGTTCACAACTTCGATAGACCATCGTAGGCAACACAAAACATTCGAACTGCCCACAAATGTATAAACTGAGCAGATATAATGAATAGATGAACGGTATTCAGAATGACAGTCACAGTGGCCTTGGAGTCAGACCAGTTAAAATATATATCCAAAACGTTTTATGATGAAAAAGTCTGACATATTTTAAATTGATAATCCAGCCTGGCGTGTAATCTGGGACAGCATCCTGATCAGCAATCATTCGTCGACGCCATCACCAACATGGTCCAAATAGGCGGGGGCACAAATACGGGAGCTGCCCTGGCTTATGCACGTACAACGGCTGCCTGGAGGGGCTCTCCTTTTCCAAAGGTAAGTACAAGGTTCTGAGAGTCAATAATTAACGCCAAAATGCATCAAAGACAACCCTGAATAGGCTAAACAATGAACTATGAAATAGTCAATAGATAAATGAAAGGGTAAAGGTAAATCACATGTAAAATGCTAAATTAGAAACTGATCTGAGTAGCGTTTTCCATTTAAACTACCAACAGAAATGAGTAGACTCAAAATGTCTAATAGACAGAAATTTCAACTTTTCCAGATTATGATAGTTCTGACTGATGGACAGTCAGGGGACAGTGTCGACCAAGCGTCCTTAGATCTGGCCAATGACGGTATTATCGTGTTCGCCATCGGTGTGGGCAACTTTGATGCCGCAGAACTACAACAGATCACCAACAACAACTCAGACCGAGTGTTTGAACTGGCCGACTTTGAAACCCTGACTAACAGCATCGATCAGATCGTTGAGGCCCTCTGCAACGGTTAGTACAAGGCCACCTGAAATACAGTTCTAGATGATGGTTGAGCCGATTATTCACGATCAGTGGCCTTATTACTGCTGTGTGACGTGAGCAATGGGTCAAAGATTTCTGGAAGTTGGTATTGCCTGTAATCTGAACCAATGAAGAATAGTAGACCCAAATGTTCAAGGATTCATTTAAGAAATGACCCTGTTTAGTATCCACAACCCAATGTGTCTACATCAGAGCCCATCAATTGCACTGATGATAATATTAAGTTGATGATGACAGCCACTCTCGTCAACACTTCTAGATCTAGATGTTCATTCTGTCCTTTCTCTCTCGTCTCGAATGCCCTCAGCTACTCGTTACAGGACTGAGACGTAACTTTCCTAAACATTCACGTGTTTCTTTTCTTTTGTGTCCCAACGTCGGCAACGAAAAATATCCTTTGTCTGAGATTTGAAAAAAAAAAGACACCCAAGCCTGGTCGTTTATGCCTAAAAGTATCGAATTGCAAGTTAGAATTGTCGTCATGATGTGACCACTGAACACAAAGGTATACATAGTCTTTCTTCATGATGTATGCTCTTCAGCATTTAACTTGCTTTTAACAGGATGATTATTTTTGACATTACAGGTGCAACTCCATGAAGCGTGAACTATGTTTGACCGAATCTAAGGTAAGTCATTATTGCTGTCTTCCGTATTTCTGTCTATTTAGAGACGGGCTGTGGTTAGACTACTGGCTTAGTTTTATGGATTTTATCATGCCTCAAATATCATGATATGTTTTCGAGGTTAGACCATTCCCCTTGTCTAATTTTCATTTGATGGTCGGTAATGCATCAACACGTTTTTTTGTCATAAAACGCATTCTTTCTCTTTAATTACAGGACCTTGACTCACTACTGACATTGGAGAGTGTAGTCTTCAGCGGGATCATCCTCCTTCTGCTGAAGACTACTGCAGATAGTATGGTTCCTTTGCGCTTCCACAAGCATTACTACAAACGTTTTTCAGCTTTCAATTCCTACTTGCTGTAACTGGTGGCCATGACCTAATCAATTTGCTCACTGACTCACTCTCTAATCAACCTAATGCAGCATTAAATAAAACAGACGGCTTAGACTTGAACTCAGTAATACTAAAACACGTTAAGACACTTAATGAGACTTCACATTGCCAGAGGAATCATACAGTACTTCTGTTGATAGAGACATCTCTTTAAATCTTTATTTCAGGATTCTGTCGTATCCTTATTTCTATCTCCAAGTAGCTTCCTAAGTGCTATTGTTGCATACAGGTGGCCCAAATGGTCTTTTATGTATCTATACGGAAAGACTGCAATACAAAATGTAACTTGCATCTGCCTTACTATTGCCAGTATTTAGAGTTGTGACATGATAGAACAACACACAACCTAGTATCTTGTGATTGATGAGCAAGTAGTGTCTTCAGTAAAAAAAATGCATGGATTAGTCTATACTCTATAGTACAAGCTAGATTCTCCTAAATGATTCTGTGCAATAATCTGTTGTTCTTGTCGCTGGAAGACGGATACATGTTCTCCCCTCACAATATGCTTAGCAATGTTGCTACGAAGTACATCTTGTTACATGTACTGTGGAAACTCATTCAGACATTCCAGTCAAACTAAAACTGATGATTCCTTAACCTGGTGATAGGGGGAAGGCTGGATCCACATTCTAAAACATATAAGATATAAAATCCTTAAAACATAAACCTATTCCACGTGAATTTGTCAAAATTGGTTTACAATTTTCCCCAACACATCTAGACTGCAAACAACATGGCAATCGTCTTGCTACCTTACTATTTGTAACGTTGTTTGGTATATATCGCCCCGAACAGAAAACAACATATGTCAATGCAAAACGTCAAAAATTGGTTTTAATCGTGGAAGAGGTAAATAAAATGATATAACCTAGTACTTCATAGAAAATTATTCTATGGTGTTTAATGCTGCTTAATGGGGCCATGGATTAAAGCTACATCAATACGTTAATCGGAATATTGTAAACCAAGACAATTTAACGAAAGGCACAGAAACATTATGCATTTGTTTACCGGCTAAATCAATAAAAACCTTATTATTCTTACAGACTATTTCATCCTTAAAACAAATCGGATAATATTACTAGAGTAATAAATTCCCAAGTGTGGCAAACAAAGTAAAAATAATAACCAGAAAGAAACCTTACGACTATAACAAGTCAAAGCAATGCTGCTTCAATGGCAGCCAGAAAGTGAGTATATAACTGCTGTGATTAATTCTCATTACAAAAGAAAAGGACGCCGATAAAAATATGCCATGATAAATTGACGCTGTAGCGTTCCATAAATATAACTTTTTTTTCAAATTGTAACCGGTGAAACAACTACATAACGTTATCTTGCGTACCGAACGAAGAGCTATTTGATAAGTTCGGATAGTTGAAAAGTTTCAAATTATCATAAATACCTATCTCATGCTTGCTTAATGATTTAAGCCACGTAGATTGGTTAAATGCTTCATTACGTTATAGTACGAAATGCCTAACGGTAGATACCTTGCGCACATTGGTGAAATAGTTTACTCGGTCTTCATGGGGTATTTGGTTTAAATTAACCATACTATTTAAAGATAATTTTATGGTCAAGAATGCTTCATGTATTTTATTATTTAAATACTAATTGATAACACAGCAATAAAACTAAATGTATACTTTTCTCAATGTAAGACACCAGTATTATGATGACCAAAATATAAGAGACAAGTAAGCACTTTGTTGCTCCAACAAGTGTCCTTGGATAAGGGAGGAAATGTGCCCATTCTAAGTAAGTAAATGCAAATTCGTGTTGGAATTTCGTCCTTAATCAAATATGACTACTTGAATCATTCTTGACCCTTGTAACTTAAGATATAGATGTTAATGAGATCTTAAATCGTAAATAGAAAAACGTTATGCTGTGATGATCAAGGCAAAAGTTTCAGTTAGAACGCTCGAACGATTGAGTGTAGGCTCATGGGAAATATTATATGTATAGAATGATTCCATCGCGATAATGACCACAGTTAACTTGCTGATGAGTCTGTGTATCTTTGCAATTATAACCCCCCCCCTCGCTACATTTCATAGATGTACGTCGCATTCAACACATAAGTCCAATATGTTATCCCATCATGTAACTCGAATGTGTAATTGACCTAATATGTACAACTAAGGACAGCATACAGTGTCACTGATATATATAACAGAATGGAGGCTTTTTAAGCCAAGATGGTAAAATAACAAATCCGATATTTCAACACGAAACTGATACCTGAATCACTCACAGCAGACCGATATAGTTAATAAATAGTAAACGACAATGAAAGTGTTTTGGTTTTCTTTGTCTGTGTCTCCTTTATTGGTTATGTTAGATATGTTGGGAAAGTCCATGAGTTAAACTTCCTTCTAGTTCAGAACTAGATATCATAGCTATTCGTCTCATTCATACCAAAAGAAGAAGAAAGAATGTAAAAAGTAGTAAAAAAAAGTAAGACGTTTAAGCGTAAACAAGAACGAAACTCAACGCCGGGCTAAAAATTTGATATGTTATCAAACGTCAAACTCATAGAACTGCTTTCTAGTATAACGCACTACCAAACTAGGAATCATTTACAAGGAAATCATACTTTGGTTTGGTTTGGTTTGAGCAAATGGGCGTGGAGGACAGGTTATAATGAAGTTTACAGGGCAAATGTTAAAGTCGAGATCGATTTACGTCTACATACGTTTGAAATCACATTTGCACGGCTATCATGGCCTACAGCGGCTGTTATTCGACGCTTACTCAGGCAACCTGAATACGACCCCGGGTTTGACCATAGGACTGTAAGGTTTTGAACCAGTTATGATCCCTACTCCTTTCGATAAATTCTAAATTTGGCGGTGTAGGTTCTTTGACGTGTTTCTCAAACACGGGACCTCCAGTTTACATTCCTGGTACAGCATACAGTTACAGACATTTAAGAATTATTACAGTATTATCATAATTAGGGTGTCTTCACTGTTATTTATAGAAGTATAGGGTTGTTCGATATTAGCTATAGTTCCACATATGTACCAGTTGCTATACACTGTGTACCTGCTACAGTTGTCGCGTAATATTTGTTTATTAAAATTCACCACACATGTGGAAGGGTTGAGAAAACAGGTGTAGCTCACCTTTACTGGCTCTCACCCCTGCAATTATAAATAGATGTCTTCCTCTTCTTTAACTTCTTATCCGAACGTAGGTACTAATTATCACCTGGGAGATGTGGGAAAAGGCACAACATTGGGGCCCGTCAGGGATTTGAACACTAAGCCTCCGAACTGCCAGTCCAAAAACATGATCAGATAAGCAGTCGCCGTCCCACAACATTACCTTCACAAGTACTCATGCGTTCTGACAAAAACAACCAGCCTATGAGTAATACTGAACGGTCCCGTTGCTATGACGACTGACTAAAATGCCTGGGTTCTATTTAAATTCACATCATGATAGGTGAGGGGACTGAGGTCCGAAATAAGTCATCACGTTTTTAAGAAATGGAGATACATTTCTTTTGCCTAATTTCCCAAACTTATGATAAGGATAGGTTTTACATGTATGGGGAGTGAAATATAAACACATGGAACATAATGGTATACAAAAACCGGAAGCTGGCGTCCATTTTCAATGGGTTGGATTATGAGCGACTTTTGTATAGTTTTTGCTGTGTGCATGATGTACCGTGTATCTGAAACAATTAAAAAAGAACAACGTTGATACATAATGGCTAATTAAGCGCATGAAAAAAAATTATCCTGGTAGCTACGTGTGTTTATGAGATCATGAAGGGAAACATAGGTCTCATACCTCTATAGAATATTTAAATACCTCTGTGCATTTCATTTTTTGTACATCGGCTTGCTCTTACAGCCCTGAACTAATAAGACTCAAAACCAGCCCTACCTCTTCAAAACAAGCACTGATAATATCGCATCCTGGACCACTGTTGTTAGGCTGTTAAAAATACGTCTGCGTGAATTGAATTTCATGTTGTGTAAACTTTGCAGTGCGCAAAAGGTGACACCAAGATGGCTATCATCCTCAAAAATCGATGTTGGGTTAAATCATGTGTATATGCATCCAACCAAGTAATTCATGCTAAAAAGGGAATTCTTTTTGACATTTCTGCATTTGTATAAATCAACTAAAATGGGTCCATTTTTAAACCGGTTGACAATAGATACTGTACCGTATTCTACTCAAATGCCCGCCCAGATCCTCCAAACTTTCCTCTCAAATCCTTGTCGGAATGCTTCAATCTGTGGCTCAGGGAAAACACAGACACTAACGACACCTATGAGGGTAATGTAACTTTGACCATAGGATTGTAAGATTTTAGACTAGTTATACCGAAAGGACCCCTTTCGATAAATTTTCGAGTTGGCGGCGTGAGTTCTATGACATGTCTCTCAAACAGGGGACCTCCATTTCACATAGTTACGGATGCATTGCTTAAGAATTATTAGAGTATTAGCATAATTCCTAAAAAAATAGGGTGTCTTCACTGTTATTTATAAAAGTAGAATTATTTGATAGAAGTTATAGTTCCACTTATGGACCAGTTACTATACAGTGTACCTGCTACAATTGTCGTGTGAACACACACATGTAATATTTGTTTATCTAAATTCACAACACAGGTGCATACAAATACTCATATTTACCCGTACCATTCCCAGTGGACTAATCTGCCTGTCACAGGCACATCTGGGCCCTTCGGGGATTCGAACCCTAAACCTCCAAACTGCCACTCCACTATGCTAAAGCCTTGGTCACAACCCGCCGTACGTGCTTTTTGTCCGTACGTTTTTGGGGAGGCTACGTCTGATACGTTTTTTCTGAAAACGTGGGGAAGGAGTGGCATCGACGCACGTCACTCGCACGGTTGCGCAAGGTGTAAGAGTGGGGTCTGCACGCCACGTCTGGCCGTGAGCGGTTGCGTGCATCGTGCAATGCGCAAGTGGTGAGTTGTACGTGCTTACAACGTACGATCTCTGTGCGATTGCAACTTAACCGTAAGGAGGCCGTACTCACACGTGCTTCTTCCGTACGGCACGTACGGGGCACGCGCGTCGCACGAACTCGTACGCACGGGTGGTGAATCCGCAGACCGCATGCAGAAAAAGTTTTACATGCACTTAAAGTTCTACGGCGTGTCTGCGTGCTCCAAAATCCGTAGGATTCCGTACGGAGGCGGTACTCACCACGCACGAATGCCCTACGTTTGCCCACGTTTTTGCACGTAGACAGCACGCAGAAGCACGTACGGCGGGTTGTGACCGAAGCTTAAACGATACCATCAGATAGGTAGTCAGCAAATTCGCCGTCGGACGGTCCCAAAACCTCGTATTCACGGACGCATCTTCACAAGTACACAACCAGCCTATGAGTAATACTACTGATCTAATGACTATTTAGCCAAGTGCATGAAAAATGTTATGCTAGTAGCTACGTGTGCATATAAGATGTAGGATCATGAAGGGAAAACAAGGGTCTCATATGTCTGTGAAATATCTATGCTATCTACTTCTATGCATTTTTTTGTACAACAGCTTGTTCTTAAAGCCCTGGACTAAGACTTAAAAAACAGCCCTACCTCTTCAAAAACAAGCACTGGTAATATATCGCATCCTGGACCACTGTTGTTAGGCTGTTAAAAATACGTCTGCGTGAATTGAATTTCATGTTGTGTAAACTTTGCAGTGCGCAAAAGGTGATACTAAGATGGCTATCATCCTCAAAAATCGATATTAGGTTAAATCATTTTACATGCATCCCAGTAATCCATGAAAGGCCAAGGCATTCTGATGTTAAATGTGTGCAGTGAAGAGTAACTCAAATCAAATGGGTTCTTTTCATTGTTTTATACGGGTTGACAATAGATACTGTGCCGTAATCTAATCATACTCAAACGCAGGCCCAGATACTTCGTAATTTTCTCTAAGTAATGCTTGTCGGAATGCCGCAATCTCACTCTGTGGCTCCATGAAAAGGTTCCTCCAGACACCTGGCGGGTAATGAAAGAACTGCAGAAAGAACTCGCTCCCTTTGTGCAGTCACGAATAATCATATTCTCCTATAATCGATGTCAGGTTAAATCATGTGTACATGCATCCCAGTAATTCCTGCTAAAAGGCATTATTTTGTGACATTTGTGCCTTTATGTAAATCAAATCAAAATGGGTTAAATAGATACTGCTCTGTAACCTAACCATACTCAAATGCTAGCCCAGATCCTCCAATTTTTTTTTCAAATCCTTGGAGGGTAATGAAAGTTTGACCATAGGACTGTAAGGTTTTGGACTCCTACTCCTTTCAATAAATCTTTAAGTTAGTGGCGTAAGTTCGTTTATGTGTTTCTCAAACAAGGAACTTCCATTTTACATTGCTGGCGCAGCATACAGTTACAGACATATTGCTTAAGAATTATTAGAGTATTGGCATGATAAGTGGGTCTTCACTGTTATCCACAGAAGTAGAATTGTTCGATGGTATCTATAGTTCCACTTATGTCCCAGAAACTATACAGTGTAAAATTGCCGTGTAATATTTGTTTATCAAAATTCACCACACAGACACACACATACTCATATTTACCCGTACCATTCCCCATATGATAAGCTGTCAGCAAATTTGCAGTCCCAAAACATCGCATTCACAAGGCGTCAGAAGTACGCATGCGTTCGGACAAAACAACCAGCATGTGACTAATACTGATCGGTCCTGTTGCTATGCCTAATGGCTAAAAATACCTGGGTGCAATTCAAATTCAGACCATGATATGTGGTCTATGGTGTATCGTGTGGTAAGAACATTTGAACAACGTTAGTAACGGTACCTGATGACTAAATAGCCAAGCGCATGAAAAAAATCATCCTACGTGTAGCTACGTGTGTCTATGAGAGGTAGGATCATGCAGGGAAAACAAAGGTCTCGCGCCTCTGTGAAACATTTATATGTTTTTTTTTTCATTTTTCTCTCTTTTAAAACTCCTTGTTTTTTTTTTTAAGCGGAGGGGCCAAGACTTGAAAACAAGTCCCCGCTTGAAAAACATCCTGGACCACTGTTGTTAGGCTGCTAAAAATACGTCTGCGTGAATGGAATTTCATGTTGTGTAAACTTTGCAGTGCGCAAAAGGTGATACTAAGATGGCTATCATCTTCAAAAATCGATGTGTACATGCATCCCAGTATTTTCATGCTAAAAAGCTAAGGCATTCTGACATTTGTGCAGTGCAGAGTAAATCAAATCAAATGAGTTCTTTGTGATACGCGTTGACAATAGATACTGTGTCGTAATCGAATAATATTCATACGCAAGCCCAGATCCTTCGTATTGTCTATAAAATGGTTGTCAACAAATCTCATTCTGTGGCTCCATGGTTCATTCACACACCTGGCGGCTAATGAATGAACTGCAAGAATAATCTTTGCACAGTCACTTACGATCACTCTTATTTTCCTATAATTTTCAAGGAGACTGTGAAAAAGCCGAGTCATCAGGAAGGATTTCTGGCGATCTTTTTCGTCACAATCCACCGACCACACACAGGCATGCACGCCTGTCCCTGGTACTGAACACCATCCGCCGACCACACACTGGCAAACACGCCTGTCCCTGGTGCTGAACACCATCCACCGACCACACACAGGCAAACACGCCTGTCCCTGGTGCTGAACACCATCCGCCGACCAGACACAGGCAAACACGCCTGTCCCTGGTGCTGAACACCATCCGCCGACCACACACAGGCAAACACGCCTGTCCCTGGTGCTGAACACCATCCGCCGACCACACACAGGCAAACACGCCTGTCCCTGGTGCTGAACACCATCCGCCGACCACACACAGG